CTGTATCCCTGTATCCCTGTATCCCTGTATCCCTGTATCCCTGTATCCCTGTATCCCTGTATCCCTGTATCCCTGTATCCATGTATCCATGTATCCATGTATCCCTGTATACCTGTATCCATGTATCCCTGTATTCCTTTACCCCTGTATACCTTGAAAACCGGATTTTAAAACAATTTTAGTAATAATTGAAGACAATCCGAAGAAAGCATCGCCGCAGAATTTCTTCTGAAATTTTAGTAGCTTAAGACTTCCACTTCCTGTACATCCTTGAAATCATCTCTGGATTGTTCGGCTGCAGATTGACCCATCCAACATCTCAAAACAAAAACCCTCCGGAGACTAACTATTTTATTAATAAAAGGCTTATTGGTTCCTCATATCATCTTGAAAGTTCTTCGATTAATACCTAGAATACTAGAAGTTTAAAATTTGGCCAAAATTATTTTTTATTTCCGCGGAAATTTCTGCTTATGTAGATATCAAGATAAAAGAAATCAAGTTTATGCTAATACAAGCTGCTGAAGGAAGAGTTGAAATGGAAAAATAAAGAGCTGAGGGAAAAGATATAATCAACGATAACCTTGAACCCCAGTATAAAACTATGAGCAGTCTAACTGAAGAAATTAAGACCACTGCAGATGTGCAGTGTGCACGTGCTAACATCACCTAAACTTATAAGTGAGTTTGTGAGGTTAAATCAAAGACAATGGCTTAAGGACCAGGTAGACTTGATCACAAAGTTGACCTCACTGGTTGATTCCAGGGCCTGGTAAAGAAATGAAGATCAAGATGTCCCAAGTAAAAGATCTAAAGCATCAAAAGGAGAATTTGGCAAAACAAAACGAGCCATTGCACGTGGATTTAACGGTTCTGTCAATATTCCAGAAAACTGTGACTTTCGATNTTTGAACATCTATACATATCATTTTAGCCTTTTTTTCTGAAATACTTTTTTGTCGGTATATACATTTCGAATGAAAAAGTATAAAATAAACAAATCCGTAAGTTTAAAGATTGTTGAATTGTTTGTCGTTTCCCTAGGTTATAGTTAATAATATACATTATACATAAATACATAGTTAGATCAAAATAGAAAGATCGAAATGTAGATAGCTGGTAATACAAATAGATTAGATAGATATAAGATCGAACAGACGAACAACTCAGAAAATATATCTTTTCATAGGTAAATGGAAAAAAAATTATCCATAGATACGCATGTTGTTTGATAAATAGATAAATAGATTGATAAATACAGATATAGTTTGATAAATAGAAGAATAGATAGATAAATACACATGTTGTTTGATAAATAGATAAATAGATAGATAAATTCACGTAGTTTGATAAATAGATAAATAGATAGATACTACTACATGTAGTTTGATAAATAAATAAATAGATAGATAAATACATGAAGTTTAATAGATAGATACACATGTAGTTCGAAAAAAAAATGAATAGATAGATGGATCAATAGATAGATGATCGAATAGACGGACAACTTAAAAATATATTTATACGTAGGGATAGCACGAGCAGCCGTATTACATTTGAATTTCCGAGCCGGGTCAACCTTTCCGGTCCCAGTTTGTACTGTACCGTACGGAAATTGGCTTAATTAAGCAGACAATCAACAGGACTAGCCGGTGCACCAATGTTGACGTGGTCAGACTTTATGCTTCATATAGGTTGAATTTACTTTTACTAAAGGGGCAGAGGTGATTGGTAGCAAAACAAAAAAAAAGATAGATCGATATATAGACGTTCACATGTAGATTGTTAAATATAAGATAACTAATTCTTATAGATAAATAGATAGATTAAGAAATATATATAAAGTTGAGAGTTATATAGATTGATAGATAAATTCATAGATATATAGAAATCTAGCTAGAAAGCTAGATAAATAGATAGTCAGATATATAAATAGATAGTTATAAATCTAGTTCGATTGATAAATAGTGAGAAATTTAGTTAAATAGATAGATAGTTAGAAAGATAGATAGATAGATAGATAGTTAGATAGTTAGATAGTTAGATAGTTAGGTAGTTAAATATTTAGATAGATATTTAGATAGTTAGGTTGATAGATAGATAGTTAAATATATTTATAGTTAGATAAATAGATAGTTAGATAGATATATAGTTAGAATAGATAGATATATAGATAGATAGATAGTTAGACAGATAGATAGATATTTAGATAGATACATAGATAGATAGATAGATAGATAGATAGATATATTTAGATAGATAGATAGATAAATAGATAGATAGATAGATAGATATTTAGATAGATAGTTAGTCTGACAGGAAGATATATGTGTCGTAAAAGATTTGAATAAGGGAAGTGCTTGTCTATTAATTCTTCTTAATTATTTATTTGTCTCAACATTAACAGTGCTTAATGGTTCATGTGGGAACATAGGGATATATTATACAGCTACTTATTTGTACATATTAATACTTAGTAGTACATAATAATACTTAGTTGTACATAATAATACTTAGTTGTACATAATAATACTTAGTTGTATATAATAATACTTAGTTGTACATAATAATACTTAGTTGTATATAATAATACTTATTTGTACATAATAATTCTTAGTTGTACATGATATATACATAGTTTATATTTAATTGTACATAAAAATACTTAGCTGTACGTATACATATTACATAGTATTACCGCACAGGTCTGCAGCTTCAGTAAATCTAAATCATACGTGTTTGTGTAAACAATAATACTTAGTTGTGCAAAATATATATTAAGTCGTACATTAAAATACTATATATATAATATGTACTATGCTTTACATCATAATATATAATTAACTGTACATAAGGTATATTTAGTTGTAATTAAGTAATAATGCTTAATATATACTAAGTTGTACATTATAATACGTGTACATAATAAATCTGTTCACTGTTTTATTTTGTAAATACTACACGCGGCATCAACGTAACTTATAGTATACTATAAGTTACGTTCTAAAACTGTCTCATGACAAGTTTATTCGTTAATCAATCAATCAATCAGTTCTATATAACGCTGGTAATTTTAGCATCCAACCAAAAATGTTTTTCAGTATACAATATACATTCCTTTATTGATATTTTCTAAATTATTTTTTTATAATCTATATTTTTTTTACTTTTGACGGGCTATTTATTAGTTTAATAACGATTTCCTTTATGGATTTAAACTAAGGGCTAGCCCAAATCTTGTTTGCATTTTTCCCAACGATGTTATAGTGTACAGAGTGATGATGTACGATAATCCTTTACTAATTGTATAGGCTATCAACCATACCGAGAACGTACTGCATATTTGTTTATTATACGTTGATTCTGGCCTAAACTATAGTATATCAATATTAGTAAACAGTTGTACAGTACAGCTAACATCGTGGTTTTTTCCCGATAAATAATAAAATACGTGGTTCATTTTATCACCGAGGAAAGTGACAAAAACAGTAATTATTCTCTCAAAATATTCCCGTAGTTAAGACATCATTAACAATTAGTAATATTCCCATTTTTAAAAATCCCCTTCCCGGCCCTTATATAGGGGGTCCCATCAGCCTATTTCATATTAATGTACACTTATCATGGTTTTAAAAAGTAAAGACAGTGTTTAATTAAATTCTATTATTTAAACAAGACTGCTTAAACGGCTTGTCTACCTCCTGCCCTCTATGATCTTTCATGTAAAATACTAAAGCCTACAGGCACTAAACTCAACACCAGCGGCGTTATTTCCCCGACCCGGTCCGCCTGCCTGCCGCCAGGCAGTTTAGGTCGTTACGCGTCAGTACGGACCTGTACGTGGTAGTGGCGGCAGGCAGAGCTACTAGTGTCCAAATGGTCACAACGCCCGTGGAAGTGGTGAAACGTCGCCTCTCTTTTACTCCACATGCACTCTTCTATATTCCTTAATTTAAAGTTAAAACCAGTTTCTCAACAACCCTTGCCGTCTCCACACACCCGGCCTAGTATATATATTTATATATATAATAAATATATATTTAGAAAAGTAAAATCAAATAAGTTAAATGAGTTTGTCTAGTTCAAAGAATGTCTTCAGTCTGTGAAACAATGTCCTATCCACCCCCTCCTCTCCTACCTAGGCCGGACTATTTGCCACATTTTCATCCGGGTGGTCTACCAACCTTTCCCGGATTAGGACCTACCAATAGCTTCTCAACCCCATCCGGATATCCGGGTGTATATCCGGGTTTACCCGGATTTCCTTTTGGAGCTCTTCGTCCGCCCCCACCAGAGGACGATAATGTCCAGGACGATCCTAAAGTTACTCTTGAGCATAAAGAACTCTGGGAGCAGTTTCATAAACATGGAACTGAGATGGTTATCACTAAATCTGGAAGGTAATTTTCAATCTTTAAAAAGAACCAATTTCAAACATAACATTTTTTTATTTGTAAAATGATTGTTCACCAAGTTTACTGAATACCTTGATTTTTAGAATTAATGCAATACAACTAAGCCAATCTTATATATTTCTAAAAGATGTTCTTGAAGGGCAGAATGGTCAAAACTATACATTTAAAGTCACGGTAAATTAGGGGTCAGTCAGTGAGCCTGAAATTTGAAACTTATTTTCATCCGTTCAATAACGATTTTTGGTATTTGCTAGGTTACACTCTTTTGATTAAATGCTCAATTATATAAAGTCTTTTACTCAATTTTTGACGGATTTTGAATAAGAAAAATATAATTAAAAACTTCGTTGTAATTAGTTTTACGTGCATTCCCAGCAAAACTGTAATTCTGGGCCTCAGGGATATCTTTCCGCGACAAGATTGAAATTTTGACTTATTAAAAATAAGTAGTTTTTCGATCAATTTTGAAATAAGAGAACAGTCCCTTTTAACAACTTTATGCTGTTAACTAACAAATTTTTCAGAAATTTTCAATGTTAATTAAAGGTAAGTAGAAACAAATGTCAAATATGATATTTTTTCGTGTCGTTTAAAAATTTATATTATCTAACCATATTATTCAATTTTCAACTATGTTCATTGTTGGAATTTGCCCAGGAACTTTTGAAACAAGGACTCGACGTATGTACTGTATTACATGAATACAGTTAGATACAAGCACTACGGACGTACGGCACAGTGCAGTATAGGAAAGTACGGTTCAGTACATGTATTGTACAAGGCAAGAAGAACATTTCTAGGAATAAATTAGCTCTCTAAACTTTCTTAAACTCCAACGTTTTGTCGAAATATTAAAAATTTAGAAATTTTAGAAATTAATTAACTTAATACTCGATTTAGGCCATTTTCTTTGGTAATCATGATCAAAATTTGCAACGTGTTAACAATTTGTTTTTAAACAGATTGATAAAAGAACTTTTAATTGTATTTGACACATTTCTAAACTTATCTTTTTTTATAAAAAAAAAAATGTTTATGAAGACAAACAATATCTATCAATTGAAATGTGAAATTAATGATTTCAAAGTTAAAATATATCAGAATTTTTTTACACTTTTAAAACGCTTTTAAAAAGTATTGCATTTCTCAACCTTAAAAAAAGTGTCTCATATAAAAAAATTGCAGTTTTCAAATTTCTATCAACATTTCTCTAATGATATTTGTTAGTTTATGTACAGTGTGAAATTAAATTTGTTATGGTTACCATGTAGGCTTTTCTACCTCTTTGGTCAGATGATAAACAATCGATGCAAATTTGTTTGCAACAAACCGAAACATTTAAAACCCAATTTTGATTTAATTACTTAATTTTACCGTTTTTTACGACTGGGCATTTACTTGTATTAAATTCAATTCATGGATTTAACGGTTCTGTTAATATTCCAGAAAGCTGTGACTTTCGATCACAATTTGACCCATTAAAAATAATTTGTTGGCCTTTTCTATTAAATACTTTTTTGTTGGCTTCAAATGAAAATGTATAACATAAACAAATCCGTAAAGTAAATAATTATTGAATTAAAGACCAAAACTCGTTTGATTACAAATAGAAGAAACCGAATGCTGCTCACTCTGGTTAGTCCGGTGTGAGTGATGATGCTATATTCATTTGTTTCTTTTCTTTAATCTGAAAGCCGGGGTAAAAAGTAGTCGTTGGTTGTCTATAAAAAATGTTCAATATTAATAAAAACATTGAAGCTGTTTTCCAAAAAAAGGATTTTTAAACAGATATTTTCTGAATCTAAATCTAAAACTTGTTTTTATACGTTTTCAAAAAGAAACTTATTTTTTTTTTCTAAGTAAATTGAATAAAAAAATAGTAAAAAATCCATACTACCCTACATATATCATCAAAATGACTTAAGTCCATTAATTTTTCCTCATAATCCTGATCTTCTTTTTCTATGTTAAAGATATTTCTACACTATTTCTATTGGTTCAGAATATACAACAAAGACATGACTGATCCCTGATTGGATCAGGCGCTAATGGACTCGGCATACAGGAGTGTGAAGGCTTCAAACTTTCATGTATATTTGATGAGTCAGGGGCAAAGAGGAAAATATCAATTAGTGTAAAAAGAGTTTGAAACTCAATCAATCAATCAAATTGCACAGCACATTGCCACTTCATGGGATCAATACACCGCGATATATAGACCGGGGGGATTCATTAGATAGGGATTAAATCCACAATAAGAAGAGTAACTAATTCCTAAAAAAAAGTTTAAGGGATTAAATTGATTAGGATTAAACCAACCAATTTGATTTAACAAGCCGTTGAATGGGATCAAAATTCTTGGATGTATGGATTATACTTTTTAAAATCTTGAATTTCCAATATTTGTAGGAAAATGAGGGTGTGAAAGGAAGGGGGATGGAATCCCAACACGCTTTTTGTTTATAATAAGATTAGTAATGGCCGGCTTTTTATCTATTTTGATTACGGAAATTTCTTATCCAAGTCGTCTTTTTGACACGAGATATGTTTAAATATTACAATATAGACCCCCCCCCCTCCTCAATTTCTTCTAGCTGACCATGAAAATAAGTTCATAAACAAAATTTGGTACCGAGCGATCAGAAATGTGATTTTTCTCATTTTTGTAAAGAATACAATGGTGAAGGTGTTTATTATTATTTTAAAGCTCTAGGTGTTTAAGAATCCTTCCTCTGAAAAGGAAATTGTGGTTTTTCTTTCACCATGGTTTAATTTTCCCATCAAGGAAATTTTTTTTTTAGTTTCTAAAATTGTTCACAATATCTAATAATCTCGAAAAAATGAAATACTACGGTTTTAAAAAGTATATCTACCCCTGAATAATAATCTATTTGGTTTGGTCGAGAAACCACTATGCTTAAATCATTAAATACGTTTAAAAACAAATATGGTTATTGTAGTCGGCGCGTTCAATTTATTCATAAATCCCACCACTTCCAGAACACAGTAATCAGTACATTTAGAAAAGCAGCTATACAGTGCTTACCAATAAACAGTGGAATGATTGTCTATGTATATCACAACAGAACTCTTATACTTTTGTCGGCTTAACATCAGGACAATTTCGTTGTTTTTTTTTGTCTTGAAAAGATGCGATTTCTCTTAATTTCCTCCATTGTCTGTGCAGAATAAAACCACATTTCACTTTTTTAGAAAACCGCAACGGAAAATAATAAATTTTCATCCATAAAACAGGAATAGGTTTGAAGGGTACCATTGAGAATTAGCCGTGTGCATTTTTAACTGAAGGTACTCTTCCTTTTATTTAGAAATGCTGTTGAGGTTTATCTTTACTTTTAATATATATATATATATAAATTAGAGTAGGAACTATTGTTGCTTTGCACCATGATAGCATCATATAAATTAGAGTGGGAACTCTTGTTGCTTTGCACCATGATAGCATCATATAAATTAGAGTGGGAACTCTTGTTGCTTTGCACCATGATAGCATCATATAAATTAGAGTGGGAACTCTTGTTGCTTTGCACCATGATAGCATCATATAAATTAGAGTGGGAACTCTTGTTGCTTTGCACCATGATAGCATCATATAAATTAGAGTGGGAACTCTTGTTGCTTTGCACCATGATAGCATCATATAAATTAGAGTGGGAACTCTTGTTGCTTTGCACCATGATAGCATCATATAAATTAGAGTGGGAACTCTTGTTGCTTTGCACCATGATAGCATCATATAAATTAGAGTGGGAACTCTTGTTGCTTTGCACCATGATAGCATCATATAAATTAGAGTGGGAACTCTTGTTGCTTTGCACCATGATAGCATCATATAAATTAGAGTGGGAACTCTTGTTGCTTTGCACCATGATAGCATCATATAAATTAGAGTGGGAACTCTTGTTGCTTTGCACCATGATAGCATCATATAAATTAGAGTGGGAACTCTTGTTGCTTTGCACCATGATAGCATCATATAAATTAGAGTGGGAACTCTTGTTGCTTTGCACCATGNCACCCCCCCCCCCTTAAACCAAATATATCGTGCCTTATCGCAATTATTCGGGTTAGATTTTAACGCTATAAATTTCACACTTCATAATGTTAATTTAAAGTTTAAAATTGATAATAAAAGTAAGTGGTGATAAAACATCTTTATCAAAATCAACTAAAACCTATAACTAATCTAAAACCATCAAAATATTTTGTTAGCTTTGATTTAATTTTCCCAGATGTGTAGGAATATTTGATTAGATAAATGTTTTTTATGCAAAAAATCATTTAAAACTATTGAAATAATTTCAAATTCCGAATTTTGTTAAAAGTTGTCGAACCCTATGATAGGTTGGTTAAAGGTGTTTTTACCAACTGTTGTGGGTTGATAGAGGCACCCTACCAGCACTAATTGAACACACGGACATATTGTTTTACAATAATATTCATCAAGCAGGGGGGGGGGGGGGGTGTGAAATATAAAATCAAGAAAATTCCTCTTTTCTAAATACAAACTGTACACTGTACAACGTAAATTGATTCCCACCCTACATTCAATAACGAAGAAATAATAATAAATGTATGTTCGGAAATAATTAAAAATATATTTGATAAAGAACATAACGGGGCATCTAGATTTTCTTGCGCGCTGACAAATATATTAGATGGAGAATCATCGCGGTTTCTTTCATTTTAATATACGCTTAAATCATTAAAATCGAAAAATTCACAAATTATTATTTATGTAACATATCTCACAAGTTGTGTTTCCCTAGTATTAAGTCTTTGCCATAAACTCTGATTTTCTAATTCCTATATCTACTTAGACCTCAGATATTTCAAACTATTTTTTAAATGCCAATTAAATATTTTTAATCTACACCTGCAGTTCTATACTTTAACAATTGTAAAAATCATTTATGCAGAAAATTCTAAATATGTTCAAATGTGAACAAAAAATTGAATACCAGAAAACGCGCCAAAACCTTGGTTTCCCGCCACACTTTTTCATCGTATAAAGTGACTAATGATAGGTGAATATTTAATGATAAAGGCGGTGTTGGATTTGTCTTCTTGACAGCTTAATGCAAAGGGGAAACAATTATCCATATTCCTGATGAGAGGGGGGGGGGGTTAAGTTCTATATTACTACTCTATTAATTACTGTCGTATATTTGTCTTGTGTTCAGCTTTCTATAATTATACAGAGTGTTGATTGCGGACATTGAAACCAATCAACCTGGAGTAAGTAGATCCTAGCTTAACATAGATATTTTAATACTGTAAACCAAGCAGCCTGATGTAAACGAGGGGAGGAGGAAGACCACATCAATCTCTAGTCCGAACCACATTCTCCTCATTTTCTCGTCCGAACCACCTCGAAATCTTCGTCCTTTCAATATTATTTTTTTTTAAGTGTCCGATCCTTGAAAATAAATACATTTTTAAAAAATATGGCGACGTTAGGGCATAGATGAAATATAAAATTTTCCCAATTAAATTTTAGATTTGTGTAAAAATGAAAATGCTCCATAATTGATGTTCTACAAAAAAGCGTCTGTATCTAGAGCCCTTTCTTTCGCGGAAAATGCCGCAAAACATCTCAAACTCGATGTAAACAACTTTTTGTAATATTCCAGCTGAATTTGGGTTAGAGATATGACTTACAATTTTTATATGATTAAATACTGTATGAATTTATAGGGTTGGGACCAATTAATTGTAGTAAATGATTTGAATAATATAAATTATACATTTTTTTTCTATAATTTTAAGCATGCGGCAGGCAGTAGTGATCTCTTAGTGGGGACAACAAATCAACCTTATTTGTAAATAAATCAGAAATCAATGATTATTTTGTATGGGTTGAAATGGAAAGATTAAAGACCATGTTCACGCCAATTCTTTGGTATAAATTTTTATTTGTGAAAGTTATCCATTTTGGAGGCAGAAGAGATTCAATTTTTAACCTAAATAATATTTGACATCATTCTCGTGGATTTGAAGACTCCAACATCTCAAAATCCTTGGAAAACTTTATTCTAGTCATGTTTTATGCCCTAACGTTGCCATATTTTTAAAAAATGTATTTATTTATTAAGGATCGGACACTTAAAAAAAAATATTGAAAGGACGAGAATTTCGAGGTGGTTCGGACGAGAAAATGAGGAGAATGTGGTTCGGACTAGAGATTGATGTGGTTGGCCTTCCTCCCCTCTGTAAACCCAACCTAAACCTAGATGTTGAATACTTAAACCAATCAACCCGGAGCAAGTGTAAACCCTAACAAAACATAGATATTTAGTACTGTAAACCGATAAACCCAAAGTAAACCCTAACAAAACATAGATAATTGGTACTGTAAACCAAACAACCCGGAGTAAACCCAACCTGAACCTAGATATTGAATACTGTAAACCAATCAACCCGGAGTAAACCCAACCTGAATCTAAATATTGGGTACTTTAAACAAATCAACCCAGAGTAAGTAAACCCTAACAAAACATAGATATTTGGTACTGTAAACCGATCAACCCGAAGTAAACCCTAACAAAACATAGATAATTAGCATTGTAAACCAATCGACTTGGAGTAAACCCAACCTGAACCTAGATATTGAATACTGTAAACCAATCAACCCGGATTAAACCCAACCTGAATCTAGATAATAATTCTATTCTTTTCTATCCTAGCGGTTTAATAATTCTATTCTATTCTATCCTAGTGGTTTAATAATCCTATTCTATTCTATCCTAGTGGTTTAATAATCCTATTCTATTCTATCCTAGTGGTTTAATAATCCTATTCTATTCTATCCTAGTGGTTTANTTGTGGGTAACCTTAATGTACATGTCAGAAACACAACGGTATTTTTTAGTCCTTTATCGGAGTGAAATACAGAATATATTGTCGGTTGTGTGTCTTCACTAGGGATAAATTCACATAGTTTCATTCTTTACTCTGCTGCAAAATTTCTCAAGTCACTTTTAGAGAGAACCACAACTGAAAATGGTTAAATTTTATAAATTTAAAATTTTTTTATTTTCAATAGATATAATTAATAATATAATTATTACGTCCATATCACATGACCAGAACTCCCACCAATGGCAGTGTAATATTATTGTCACGTGGGTCCGTCTGTATCATGTGACCAGTATACTGCACTGCCATTGGTAGGAGATCTGTTCACGTGACTCGGACTTATAAATAATATTATCAATTATATTTATTAAAAAGGAAAAATTATTAATTCAAATAATAATAGGAGCAATCCTAAGATACTTAGGTTCCTTTTGTATATCGTCGTTTTCAGATTGGTCGCGTTTTTGCTGAATATAATCTGCTTAAATCTACCATTTTATACAGAATTTTATATATATAGATTTTCATATAAATTTGACACAGTTTTATATCAATTTCTCAAGACATGAACAATAGATAGAACTTTTATGGGTTTCGATCAACTCTTAAAATTTGTAGGTTTCAGCCTATACCCCCTTTAAGTTTTCCTTTACAGTACCTTTAAAATGTGTTGAATTCGGAAAATTTCCTTCTTTTCCCAGTTTCACAAATCCGCAAGTCGCGTTTATAGATATTTAATTATAAGCTTTACAAACATAGCAATGTAATTTATCTTTAGTCAGAATAAGGTTTAAAGGGAACCATTGTGAATAAGACATGCAACTCAAAGATTATTGGAGGATTACTTGAAATACCATATTTAGTTCCTTTAGAGAAATGTTTAACTCTAGTCCAAGAAGCTGACATGTTTAATTTAGGCAGATGTTTCCTCAGATGAGATACAGATTATCTGGGTTGGATCCAGACACTAAATATATCCTGCTCCTAGATATAGTTACAGCAGACGACTGCAGATACAAGTTCCACAACAGGTTAGATCTTCTCCTACTCTATAGTCTTATACCAGATATATTGTAGGAGGCTGTTTCCAGCCTACAGGGTCAGGGTGACCGGCCTAGCACCAAGGGATAAATATATTATGCTCTGTGATATTCTACCAATAGATGATTGCAGATATAAGTTTCATAACAGGTCAGGAGGAACCAGGGATCAATAATCTTTCCAAAAATGGAACAGTTTTGGAATGATTATTCTTCATGAGTATATCCTGGATGTAACCCTGTAGATTATGAACCCGGTAAATTAGTTGTATTTTTGCTAAATATTGTCTTTTTTAACATTTTGGTCCCATACAATTTTCCCCCATTCTTCTCCTTCTCATTCCTCTCCTCCTTCTCCTCCTTCTCCTCTTCTCCTCCTTCTCCTCCATCTCCTCCATCTCCTCCATTTCATCCTTCTTTTTCTTCTCCTCCTTCCCCTCTTTCTCCTCATTCTCCTCCTTCTTCTTTTTCTCCTCCTTCTCCTCCTTTTCCCCCTTCTCCTCTTTCTCCTCCTTCTCAGCATTCTACCCCTTCTTCCTTTTCCCCTTTTCATATTTCTACCTTCTTTCTCCTTCCTTCTCCTCCCTTCTCCTCCCTTCTCCTCCCTTCTCCTCCCTTCTCCTCCCTTCTCCTCCCTTCTCCCTTCTCAACCCCTTCCCCCTCTCTAAACCCTCTTGCATCAATCAATTTAAAATTCTTGTAATTGTGAATTTTCAAATTTGAGTTTACAGATTTGCTGGAGGGTAGACCTTGATACCTTGAACTGCATGAATCTGTACTAAATATCAACCATATAGTTTCTCAGATAGATAGAAAACATAGTAAACATACAACATAGAACTATAGGAAGTAAAAAAAAAAGTTCAAGAACGTGAAAATAGAATTTAAATCTCAACTGAAAATGTAAAAAGTGCAATTAAAAAAGAATTTTCAGTATTTTGTTTGATTTAAACATGCCTGATCTTACTAATTAGTAAACGTAAATAAAAAATTAACAATTAGCAAGTAAATATGTAATTAGTACATATTTTGATTAAATAAATAATGTATTGTTCAATTAGAGGATTGCTTTGCTATTCACGATTATAAATCGATCGTCTATATTTAATTTAATTTCACCCTTTGTTGTTTGTTAAATCAATGCAAAATATTTCAGCCGATGGATAGTGGCCGGGAAGGCGGACCCCGAGATGCCGAAGAGGATGTACATCCACCCTGACAGCCCCGCCACCGGGGAGCAGTGGATGCAGAAGGTCGTCTCCTTCCATAAACTCAAGCTCACCAACAATATATCAGATAAACATGGATTGGTAAGCAAGAATTGCCTCCCCCCTCCCTTCTACCTGGCTATTTTAAAAGGTTTTTTATACGTACAAAAATCAACAAATTGTCGCATACAGAATTAAAAATTAAAATTTTTTTTCGCTCCATGGAAACCTTCCCACTCCTTAACTAAACTTACAACAGTGAATCAAATCCCAATTTGGAATAGGACGACGATATCATGGAAGTACTAATGTTTATTTGATGTTGTTAAAAACAAATAGTTTCAGTATAGACACTAATTTAGTTAAATGGGTCTGTTTCATCTGCACAATTCCTGTGTCTCATGCTCATTGGACTTTTTAAAGTTATAATTTGATTCTAAACGTCGTCTTCCTATTTCAGAGTTTTCTGAAGGTTCTGTATTATTATGCTAAAGGCTAGTTTCAGATGAAAAATGACGATAAAAGTAGAAAATGGGGTTAAAACCATTTTAAGAATATGATTATGATTAATATGGAAGATTTCTTATTTCTCAAGATTTATTTGAAAAGAATATTCAAGTTTTTGATACCCCCCCCCCCCCTTCTGTACTGTTAACTAGACCATTAATTGACAACTTGGTAGAAAAACTTATTTTACTGGCATTTTCTATTTTATAGCCTTATAAAAACCTGTTTGTTTTTAATAGTGTCTACTAAACATAGTGTATAATATACATGTATATTTTGTATATGGCTTTAAGTTTATTATCTTGATAATGTAGTGCTTAATCTAAAAATAAATCTGGAATTGAGATTCATACATAACATGCAGAAACTCTGGTAGTTCTCAAATTACAGAGATAAATAAGATATGGCACAGAAAGTCCTACGTTAATATGAATCATCTCCAAGCTTTGACGTGCCACGCTTTAATAAAAAATAGGTCAAATTTTTGCGATTTTTTTGTGACCTCGTTGCTTCTTTAGTTTTTATTGTACACCCAAGTACGAGAAAAACAAATATACTTGGTTGCAAAGTTAAAATTCCTTTTTGTTTGTTTATATTATATTATAATTTATACCTTATCAAAAGAAAAAGGTTCTGATTAAAAAAATGTATTCTCCTACCCAACTAGTTTATAGAAATGCTAATATTGTTTTCTTCACATTAATATCTCTTCAAAAAAAGAAGTTTTGATCGAAACATGTAAGACTGTAAAATTTACTTTGACGTAGCCATAAAACGCACAAAATATTTGTCCCAAAATCCTATTTTTTTGCTTTGCTCAACGATCTACATAACTGGGACACCCTGTGCAATTTAAACATTATAAATGTAAAGGTAGTTTTTTTTTAAATTGTAAGTTATAGAGATTGAAATTATTAGTATAGCTGCGTATTTAGTGGTATAACTTGTATTAGTGTAATACAATTATTACAAACTTTATTGAACAGACTTTTGTCCTTTAAAATCGAAGAAAAACCAGTTTTTGAAAATTTGCATTTTCTTTTGCATTCCTGATAAACTTGACATTGAATCATAGACAAATTATTAATTAAATGAAACAATTGGGTTTCAAAACAGACAGTATAATAGTTGGCTTATTTTCTACATTTAGGAGTAGTTTATTTAGTAGTTATCTAGCAGTGTAATTTAACTAGGAGGGGGGGGGGCAGCAGATGGTAGATATACTATGGTTTAGGATATGGGCGGGTAGGGGGTGAAGGGGTACAGGAAGGGGAAGAGGGGTGGGGGTAGCATAAATTAATTTAAACGGTAGAATTATAGTAAACACATTTAACAAGGATAATTTCCTTGTATTCTTGTCTTTCCGTTCTTCTGTTTCTGGCTTTCTGAGAGTTTTAATCATTCGTTTTTTATTATTCTCTATTATTATCTTCCTTTTTCTTTTTCAAACTTTTGTTTTCTTTCTAAATCGGGCACATTTTTTAATGTCAACGTATTTATTTTAGAAGTGTATCTCCGTTAAAAAGATCAAGATGATGAAAATTAAACATAAGCTGAGGAAATTGTTATCATTAATTCATTCCAGATAAATAACAAAGATATCTTTGCAGTCGTTTCTCAGATGCAGGTTTATAGAGAACTATTGTACGTCACACACGGGCAGTCGTAGTACATTTGAATTTCCGAGCCGGGTCAACCTTTCCGGTCCCAGTTTGTACTGTACCCGGCTCTATGGACAGGACTAGCCGGGGCAACAAGGTTGACGCGGTCAGACTTTATGCTTCATATAGGTTCAATTTACTTTTACTAAAGGGGCAGAGGTGGGTGCACAGTAGATATTTTATCCTAAAAGCGATGTATAAATTTCTACTGCATTGACGAGCAAGAATATGGCTTTCCAGATAAAAAACAAAGATATATTTTTTGTACTTTATCATTCTTACTCACTTCATCGCGAATTTCATAATATACGTGCTATAAAGCAATCATCGTGCTATAATGTGAAATTAGCTGTAGATTATAGCACGTGTGCTATCAAGTTCTGATTGGTTCCCGGATATTCTCCAAAAAATTTAGGATATTTCCAATTTTTTTTCAAAAGAAATGAAAATAAAATTGAAATAAACTCTACATTTTGACTTTTTCTTTGTTTAAAGCTTAGTACACAAAGGTTCTCGCTTTTTTTGGACTAAGTTTTGCATGGTTTCATGGTTTGTGCGTGATGTATGATATATTCATGATTATAATGATGATAATAATACTCTAGTGTGCTCCATGTTTACAATGTGAAGTGTGTATACTACGTATGTCGCCCTGAGCGGTATGTTCTAGTTCTAGAGTAAACAGTGTTATAAACATACTGATATATGTCAATACTCAGATTGATCTAAACTTTATATATCATTCACATATAATTCTCTAATGCGCCTAAGCGACCACCAAAACTGACTTCTTAAATCAAAACTCGTGTTTTCTTGAAATCTCACAAATTATCGTGAATGTTATTTTTACTGTTTTAAATGGCTAAATCTTTCTTTTCTCACAAGATTAAAAGAAGTTTCACATTAAGGTTTTCCTACCAAATTTCCCATTTAAATCCTGTATAGATAAGAGGGTCCTACAAATGAGACGTCATCTAGAATAACGATATATAAACTGAAGAAAACTGTTCGATAGAAGAATCATTCTGTTCAATTATTCCTCGTCAAGACATTATTTAATTAACAAACATACATATTCTTTTGACAAAACAATCTTTAATTTTGTTCTGAGTCCCTTTCAAATACCCATCCCCAGCCCCTTCTTTCAGTTCTTCTTTCCAACCATTCGTTCTTGTCTTTTTATAAAGTCACAACAATCCATCATTCCTAAAGTCTCACATTACCCCTCCCCACTCCTAAATCCCTCCTTTTTTTATATTTCATACCTCCTCCCCTCCCCTCACTCTATATATTATATATTTCATACCTCTTCCCCTCCCATCACTCTATTTATTATATATTTCATACCTCCCCTCCCCTCACTCCATATATTATATATTTCATACCTCCTCCTCTCCCCTCACTCCATATATTATATATTTCATACCTCCTCCCCTCCCCTCACTCCATATATTATATATTTCATACCTCCCCTCCCTTCACTCGATATATTATATATTTCATACCTCCCCTCCCTTCACTTCATATATTATATATTTTATACGATGTTAGGTGCTTTCCAAAGGGGCTTTTCCCAAGTGGCAACTTCCCAAATGTGCAATTTCTCAAGCGGTAACATCCCAAGTCTGTCATAGCCGCAACTCTCGGCCCACTCTCCGGTAAATCCTACTATATCTTCGGTCAGTGTAGTGCAGATTACTACAGAACGCACCGTGAGCTTAGTTGATGGTGGGCCCCCCATTACAGACAGCGGCGCTTTAAAAGGCCTAACCTAACCTTCGGGAAGTTGCTGCTTGGGAAGTTGTACGTTTGGGAAGATGCCACTTGGTAAATTGTCACTTGGGAAGTCGTCCTCACTCCATTTATTATTTATCATATATTTACAATCACCTTCTCTCTTTCTGGCAACGCCATAGTGGCTTGAATCTTGATGTCCTTTTCCCAATTTACGTTCTATCATCTGTACCCCCCCCCCTCCCTTCTACAGATGGCATTTCAGGAACTACCTAGTTGTCCATGTATCTATTACCTTGTTAAATATAATTTGTCCTGATGAAGAAATTAAGTATAATTGATTATTATTATTATTATTGATTATTTATATATAATTATATCCGACCGTTAAGCCTAGCGAAGATTCAATTATCCTTGTATAAGGTTCCGCAGTGTGAAATAATACCAATTTATGCATTAACACCCCTCGTTTCCTTCCCCTTTCCCCCCTTCCCCTTCTAATTCTCCCTCCTTCCTTTACTATCTAGAGAAAGCAATGAGCCTAATCCATCTTATCGGGTTTAAGTGTTTCTCATAAGCGTAATCAAAAAGCCCCACTTTTCCTCAGGAGACTTTAACGAGTTATAAAGCAACGTCGTAAATTACCGCAAATAATTCTAATCTTGTTTTCTTTTCTCTAGACAATCTTGAACTCGATGCACAAGTACCAGCCGAGGTTCCACCTGGTGAGGGCCAGCGACATCCTGCAGCTCCCCTACTCTACCTTCAGAACCTATGTGTTTAAAGAATGCGATTTTATTGCTGTGACAGCTTATCAGAATGAGAAAGTCACCCAGCTAAAAATAGACCATAATCCCTTTNCCCCCCACCAACTTTCATATCTCTATAGCCAGCTCTGCTATGGCTAGTTAGCCTTATAGTATATTCACACCCTGGATACTAATGAGAATGGATGAGTGTAAAGATGGTTAAACCCTGGATTTCTTTTTCACACTGAATCCTGGAGTATTGCTTCAGTCATGCAATCAGATAATTTACCTTCATACACCTTGGACTTTACATAGTCCAGGCAACAATTATTTTTCGTACTAACCCCCGCCTCTAATCTATATATCCCCTTTTCTCTTTTACTCTCTTTTTTACGTCAGCTTAGTATCTTAGCTTATTTTATATCTGACTGAATATGAGATTTAAAGTTGAAAAGACCTGAACCCTCCTTATCCTTCCGTTTATAAATGCATTTTTAATCTGAAAGTTCTTCTTCCTTCCAACCTTATATTTTTAAAGCTAATTAGAAAGAATCTACAATCTAACCTTCCATAATTAAATCCTTCTATTTTATTAAAATACTTTTCTCATTATCATATTATTCTTACTTTCTACCTTCGGTTTTTTTTTAACAGCTCACTTTTCAAACCTAACCCTCTTTCCAGATCGTTGAGTTTTACTATTCTTCGTTTTTGTACTCCATTCTTCCATTCTTCCATTCTTTCATTCTTCCATTCTTCCACTCTTCCATTCTTCCATCCCTCCATTCTTCCATTCTTCCATTCTTCTATTCTTCCATTCTTCCATTCTTCAATTCTTTCATTCTACTATTCTTCCATTCTTCCATTCTTCCATTCTTTCATTCTTCCATTCTTTCATTCTTCTATTCTTCCATTCTATCAATCTTCTATCCTTTCATTCTTCCATTCTTCCATTCTTTCATTCTTCCATTCTTCCATTCTTCTATTCTTTCATTCTTCCATTTTTCCATTCTTCCATTCTATCAATCTTCCATTCTTTCATTCTTCCATTCTATCAATCTTCCATTCTTCCAATCTTCCATTCTTCCATTCTTTCATTCTTCCATTCTTTCATTCTTTCATTCTTTCATTCTTTCATTCTTTCATTCTTTCATTCTTCCATTCTTTCATTCTTCCATTCTATCAATCTTTCCAATCTTCCATTAATCTTCCATTCTTCCATTCTTTCATTCTTCTTCATTTCAAATAACCTTCTCAAACCCAACCTTCTTTTTACGTCTTAATTCCTCAACACAGTTTTTTTTTACCTTTCATACGTTATCCTTTCATCCTTTTGTTTTTCTAATAACCTTCTCCAACCTTCTTAAACCCATCCTGTTTTTCACATCTTTCTTTTTTGACACAGTTCTTTTTTTACTCTTTACTTCCATCCTTCCATCCTTCTGCTTCTAATAACCTTGTCCGTCATTCTCAACTCCACTTTCTTTTCACATCTTTCTTATCAAAAACAATTCTACATATTTTCTATACTTAATCTTGAATCCAACCATGATTTCCGTGAACACACTTTGCTCATTTATTGCAACCCAGTCTGAAGATAGAGTCATGTTCAGGAAAGCTGGTGCCTCAGTTCACTCAGATTCTAGTACATCTCCTCGACTACCTGGAGAAGAGGAGATCAAGGAGGAGGAGGAGGAGGAGGAGGAAGATGAGGGTAGAGTAGATGTTGTTGGGCTAGATCCTATAGAACCTTCAGATACAGGTATACACCTCAGATACAGGGTTACCCACAAAAGATGAGACTTTAGAGCCGAGTATTTTTCGTTATAAAATATTTCATTATATTATTTAAAGTCTAAATATTTAAAGCAAAATACCTAACTCTGCCATTAAATAATCTTCCAATAGTTAGGTTTAATGAGTTATAGGTCGTCGTAAAAGTCTTTATGAGTAACCTTGTACCCTTCTATTTATTTAAAACCTGCATACATGTCAAATTGCAGGAAAAAATGTCTATTTTTCAAACCCTTGAAAATAACTAGTTTTGATTAAATAATCCAGGTGTCGGAGAGAAGCTAAAAGAGGAGAGAGAACTTGTCCAAACCAAACCAACCAAATTTAGACCTTTCGATGTCAGTTCTTTGATCGGAGAACAGGGCGTGAAGAGAGAAGTCTGCTCTAGTCCTGTTAAACCATCTAGTCCTGATATGAACTCAGCTCCAACCCTGAACTCATATCTAGGCTTCTACCAACACCTTCTCAGCTCAGGATCTCACAGCTTCAGTCAGAACTTTACTCCGGGTATAGGGTTTAATATCAATCCTCTTCTATTTAACAGTTTAGCTCTAGCGTCTCAAAATCCGTTCCTAGCTTACTCTACCCTGGGTTCCCTGAGCCAGCTACCACTGGGGGAGAGATTAAAACAAAATAGATTTAGTCCTTACAACCCTTTTCCTCTTCCTCGTCCTTTCTCGGGAGAGTTAAAGTCTGCTTCTCAATCCGTTCTACCCAAACCATCTCATTCATCCAGTATGCATAGTCCGGCCACACCTCTTAGTTCTAGTCCGGCCAGCCTCGCCTCATTCTCCCCACCCCCGTCCACCGATATAAAGAATATAGAGAAGATGGTTAAAGATCTAAGTGGAGAGAGCAGGACTTACGGGATATCACACTAGATATCCTGTATCCTGTATCCTTTATCATGTATCCTGTATCCTTTATCCTATATCATGTATTCTGTATCCTGTATCCTGTATCCTGTATACTGTATCATGTATCCTGTATCCTGTATCATGTNTCCTATAAACGATAAATTTATGCAAATGTCCAAGGTTGAATCTAAATGCACAAAAACTGCAACTAAGAGGATTGAAGCAGGTATATCACCAGTAGTCATAGGCTACTCAATCATCCGATCCTGTATCCTGTATCCTGTATTCTGTGTCGTGCATCCTGTATCCTCTATCCTGCATCCTGTATCCTGCATTCTGTATCCTGTATCCTGTATCCTGCATCCTGTATCCTGCATCTTGATTTTTTTTTCATATCAATTCTAACTTGAAATAGCTGTGATATCCCAGAAAATTATCAAAAATGTATTAAACAAAACACGAATTAAGGCGCCTTGATTTTAAAAAGCTTTAAACCCTAATTCTTCTCTAACCCCTCTGAGGATTAGGCTTATATCAACAGTAAAATGTTATTGAATAAATATATATTTTTATTCTATTTTATCAAACTAAGCAGTGTCTTAAACAGGGCTAAAATAGCAATACTTATGAGCTTATATTATCATGAAGAATATTTTAAAACAATTTGATTTTAAAGTTGTAGCGTAATCTATGTTTAAATGTTATCCCTTAAGCTGATTTAATTTTTATATTTTTTATTTATTTATTGTTTCGTCTACGTGTAATTTTATTATGTGATTATATTAAGTCAGAAATATATGTTTTTTCGATGAGAAAACTAAAAATAAAAATTGGATTTTTAATTTTCTTTTTTAACTTTATACGAGGGAAACAAAATCTTTAAGGTTCTTCTAGACGTCTCAGCTCTTTCAATTTTTAGAAAAGGTTCATATTTCTATCTTTTCGACTCTCTAAAAGTTCACTATATTTAATATTTATACCGGTTCGACTCTCTAAAAGTTTGCTGTATTCAATATTTAAACATTGCAACATTAGTATCATACTGCAAAAAAAAAATCTGGAAAACTTTAGAAAAGATAATTATTAGATTGGTTAGGACTTTTAGAATTATAAAACGTAACTAAAGACAAAGGTTGCTAAAAGTGTATTATTTAAATACTAGTCTTTTAGGGCGCTTATCTTCTATTTAAATTGTGAACATATTCTTTTTGTTTACATTTTAAGACAAAGAAGAACAAAATTTTACGGATTTTTAAAAAAAATTTAAAGAATTTACATTTTTTACAAAAATAAAAACCTGTAAAACACATTTATTTTTATTTTTATCATTCATAAACCTTCCTTGTGGTCACGTGATGTCCCACAAAAAATGTGGGCCCGATCGGTTCAGCCGTTTTGACGTTTAATGTTTCTAGCATACACCCTGTAGTATATGCCGGGTCAGGTAAATGTATATATTCTAGTATACACCCTGTAGTATATGCCGGGTCAGGTAAATGTATATATACTAGTATAAACCCTGTAGTTTTTGTGTCGGAAAAAGGCATATATTCTAGTATACACCCTGTAGTTTATGGGTCAGGTAAAGGTGTATCCTAGCATACACCCTGTAGTATATGGGTCAGGTAAATGTATATTCTAGTATACACCCTGTAGTATATGCCAGGTCCGGTAAATGTATATATTCTAGTATAAACCCTGTAATTTTTGTGTCGGGTAAAGGCATATATTCTAGTATACACCCTGTAGTTTATGGGTCAGGTAAAGGTATATATTCTACTATACACCCTGCAGTTTATGGGTCAGGTTAAGGTATACATTCTAGTATACACCCTGTAGTTTATGGGTCGGGTAAAGGTATATATTCTAGTATACACCCTGTAGTTTATGGGTCAGGTAAAGATATATTCTAGTTTACACCCTGTAGTTTATGGGCCAGATAAAGGTATATTCTAGTATACACCCTGAAGTTTATGGGTCAGGTAAAATTATATATTAGCTAGTATACACCCTGTAGCTTATGGGTCAGGTAAAGGTACATATTCTAGTACACACCCTGTAGTTTATGGGTCAGGTAAAGGTATATATTCTTGTATACACCCTGTAGAGTATGGGTCGGGTAGAGGTAATGGGAGGTATATATTCTTGTATACACCCTGTAGAATATGGGTCGAGTAAAGGTAATGGGAGGTATATATTCTTGTTTACACCCTGTAGAGTATGGGCCGGGTAAAGGTATATATTCTTGTATACACCCTGTAGTTTATGGGCCAGGTAAAGGTATATATTCAAGTATACACCCTGTAGTTTATGGGTCAGGTAAAGGTATATATTCTTGTAAACACCCTGTAGTTTATGGGTCAGGTAAAGGTATCTATTCTAGTATACACCCTGTAGTTTATGGGTCGGGTAAAGGTAAATATTCTAGTATACACCCTTTAGTTTATGGGTGGGGTAAAGGTATATTCTAGTATACACCCTGTAGTTTATGGGTCAGGTAAAGGTAAATATTCTAGTATACACCCTGTAGTTTATGGGTCGGGTAATGGTATATATTCTAGTATACACCCTGTAGAGTATGGGTCGGGTAAAATTATATATTCTAGTATAAACCCTGTAGTTTATGGGTCGGGTAAAGGTATATATTTAGTATACACCCTGTAGCTTATGGGTTGGGTAAAGGTACATATTCTAGTTTACACCCTGCAGTTTTTGGGTCGGGTAAAGGTATATAATCTAGTATACACCCTGTAGAGTATGGGTCGGATGAAGGTATATATTCTAGTATACACCCTGCAGAGTATGGGTCAGGTAAAGGTATATTCTAGTATACACCCTGTAGAGTATGGGTCGGGTAAAGCTAGGTATATATTCTTGTATACACCCTGTAGTTTATGGGTCGGGTAAAGGTAAGGGGTTTAGACTAAGTGGATAATCGGAGATTTGAAGATTATTGAAGATTATCTGTAACCACGACAATCAGATAATTTGTATTTTACAGTTCACATCCTATCCATCCTATCCATCCTATCCATCCTATCCATCCTATCCATCCTTTCCATTAAATCCATCCAATCCATCCTATCCATCTAATCCATCCTATCTATTCTATCCATCCTATCCATCCTTTCCATCCTATCCATTCCATCCATCCTATACATCCAATTCATCCAATCCATCTAATCCATCCTAGTAATCATATCCATCTAATCCATTCTATCCATCCTACTAATCATATCCATCCAATCCATTCCATCCATCCTAACCATCCTATTCATCCGGTCTAACCTAGTAATCATAACCATTTTATATATTTAAAAAAATAATCATTTCATGAAAACTCGGAATTTCTTTTTTTGTATAACTTTACAAATCCTGGCTTGAGATAAATCTTGAAGTTTAGATTTCAGGATTTGATTTTAGGGTTTCCTCCGGGTATAATACTACTATGATACCAGGATACCGGATACACTGGGAAACCTGGTTCTTCTCCGGGGATAAAATAAACCTGATGCTCACCCAGCTAGTAATACTATAGTGCTTAGGGATTAGATATTATCATTATTCTTATATTCTGGTTTCTCACATTAAACTACCGGAACTACGGAAATCATAACTAGTAAACTACGAATTTACGGAAACAAGAACAAGAACGGAAACAAGAATAAGTGAATGACGGAAACAAGAACTAGCAACTTTAAAGATACGGAAATAAGGATTTAGTAAACTGGAACTACAGAAATAAGAATTAGTAAACTGTGGAACTACGGANTAAGAGTAGATATATGAGTATGGGAAGAGAATTCAGGATAAGAGGAGATATATGAGGATGGGAAGAGAATTAAGGATAAGAGGAGATATATGAGAATGGGAAGAGAATTAATAATAAGAGGAGATATATGAGGATGGGAAGAGAATAAAAGATAAGATGAGATATATGAGTATGGGAAGAGAATTCAGGAAGAGGAGATATAAGAGGTTGCAAAGAGAATTAAGGATAATAGGAGTTAAATAAGGATGGAAAAAGAATTAAAGATAAGACTAGATATATGAGTATGGGAAGAGAATTCAGGATAAGAGGAGATATATGAGGATGGGAAGAGAATTAAGGATAAGAGGAGATATATGAGAATGGGAATAGAATTAAAGATAAGAGGAGATATATGAGGATGGGAAGAGAATAAAAGATAAGATGAGATATATGAGTATGGGAAGAGAATTCAGGATAAGAGGATAAGAGGACATATATGAGGATGGGAAGAGAATTAAGGATAAGAGGAGATATATGAGAATGGGAATAGAATTAAAGATAAGAGGAGATATATAAGAATGGGAAGAGAATAAAAGATAAGATGAGATATATGAGTATGGGAAGAGAATTCAGGATAAGAGGAGATATATGAGGATGGGAAGAGAATTAAGGATAAAAGGAGATATATGAGGATAGGAAGAGAATAAGAGATAGGAGGAGATATATGAGGATGCAAAGAGAATTAAGGATAATATGAGTTAAATAAGGATGGAAAAAGAATTAAAGATAAGAGTAGATATATGAGTATGGGAAGAGAATTCAGGATAAGAGGAGATATATGAGGATGGGAAGAGAATTAAGGATAAGAGGAGATATATGAGAATGGGAAGAGAATTAAAGATAAGAGGGGATATATGAGGATTGGAAGAGAATTAAGGATAGGAGTAGATGTAGACGGATAAAAAGAGAATCAAGTATAATAGGAGATAAATATGAATGGGAAGAGAATTAAGGATAATAAGAGATGTAGAAGGATAAGAAGAGAATTAAAGATAGGAGGAGATATATGAGGATGGAAAGAAGATATAAGTGGATACATGAGAACTGAAGATGACCTGAACTGATCTTGACCATATTGCCTGTGGGCTGTCATGATTGAAGTGTATATGGACAGAATAGAATAGATTTATTTAATAATTTCTGTACGTATAATGCCAGGAGCGTAATCTATTCTTAATCTTTATATCAAGAAATTAACCTAGATCTATACACGATAATACACCCTAATACAGATTGCAAGGTCAGAAAACTATTTTTTATTTGACCAATAGCTACACAAAATCTTT